CTTCTCTCTCTCTCTCTCTCTCTCTCTCTCTCTCTCTCTCTCTCTCTCTCTCTCTCTCTCTCTCTCTCTCTCTCTCTCTCTCTCTCTCTCTCTCTCTCTCTCTCTCTCTCTCTCTCTCTCTTCTGTTTCGTATTCGCAATGACTGAACGCTGATGACAGCAATAACGGTTGTTTATCAATCGAATACCCCGGTTGATAACTTGTAACGATTTTCATTTTCGTGGCAAATCAATCCTAAGTTTCATTCTTGACAATTTTTAAACGGCGCCAAGAACAACGTTCCAATTTAATAAATATACATCTTTCGTATATTTAATAAAGAAAATATATTATATAGTTTGTACGTGTTTACTCGAGATCACAATTGATGTAATGCAACCGATGAGAATGCAATCTAACATTTAAACATCAGCGCTGCCTACGAAAGAAGTTTCTCTTCTCATCCCTCTACTACGCGTGATCAGCGTAGTAGAAGGTAAAAATAGAAACTTGATAGAAAGAGATTAAAAGATAACATACTCTTTTCCCTCGTAGAGTATTTCACTAATTTCGCTGATAAAATAATAATAATTACGAGCTACAGCAGTTTGTTTCGAATAAGCAGAAATAGAAAAGGCTTCCTAAAGAATTAATTACGACATCGATAATCGTAAAATAATATTAATTGTTATTGATAATATTGATTTTATTAATTCCATAATAATTCGTGATAATTTCTTAACATGATAGAGCTACCGTGTATTAATTATAAATATTTGTGATCGTAAAACCCATTGTTGCAACGTTGTTCTAAGGGTGCCGCGTGTTTAATTCATAAAATACCAACTATACGAAACTGCCATTGGAACGGTTCAAAATGTAAGGTAAGGCCAAGAACGTTTTCCATCATGTAAATATTTTACCGTAATAGTAAATGGAAAAATATGCGAGTATCAATAATAATAATGCCATCGTCGTAGTCATCATCGTTGTCGCCGTCATCGACAACATATATATATATATATATATATTTTTTTTTTTTATATAATAAGTAAGTTATATACTCTAACATTATTATAATATTATGCTTAGCAAATATCTTGTTTGAAGATTTACCTAAAATCCACGTGGCAACAATAACCAATTTCCTTAATTACTTTCATTGTTCTGGCGGTTGAACTCTCGTACAAAGTCCAAGATAGAAACGAAAAATCTCTAACCGCAAAAGACAATTAACAATATACTTGGATTTCTAAGATAAAGATTTTTATTTCCTTTCGAAGATTTCACGTTTTCATCGATCAATTTATCCTATTATTCGCTTAATAAGAATTAAAGAATTCGATTAAAGAAAAACAAGAAAAAAGAAGAAATTATTAAAGGCTACAATCACGATAGGAATAAAGGATTAATCATTTCTAAATTAATTATTAAATGGCATAAATATTACGTTTGTTAATCATTATTCGTTTCATCAACTCGAAATAGTCACAATGGAAAACACGATCAATCATGGGGATCATCTCTAATTACTCAACTTGTTAATCGACGACTTCGTGGAAGAGGTTCGCCGCCATTTTGAAGATCACTTAAACTAAATCCTAAATTTCTATTCGGTCTTTTTCTAAATGATCAAAAAGAACGACAAACGATACGAGATAAATGTCGAAAAAACGACAAGGGAATGGAAACGAATTACTATACAACATACGAATACGTTAATAATACGACTTATATGGTTTCTTTTTCGCTGCACCGTGCGGACCAACGCAAAACGGATAATATGATTTCAATGAATAATCTCTTTCTCTCTCTCTCTCTCTCTCTTTCTCTCTCTCCCTACTCACACGCTCTATCACTTCTCTCTCTCTCTCTCTCTCTCTCTCTTCCTCTCCTTTTGTATCGATAACAGTGCGCTTGAAAACATGACGAATAATTAACGAAAATTCTAAAACATGAGAAAACGAATAAAGGAACGATTAATGTTTTAAATTAAAAAAAAAAAAAAAATTGTTTCGAGCGTTTTGGAATTCTTAAACGAGAAACTTAAAACTTGATTCCGAGTAGATTCGATCGTCATCATCTATAAAAATGACACAACTTGTTACGTACTACTGAATAAGTATGATTACTGAAATAGATCGTTTGAATAAATGGGAAACACTTGAGGTTAAAGAGTACTTCGAACGTCTTTCAAAAATTTCAATGCAGTCTTGGCGCTCTGACGTCTTTGTGCAATCAAACGTTGGTGTGGAAACTAATGGACAATGTTTCAGAGATGATTCACATATGAGACGATAATAGAAAATGAGAAAAGAGCCGCCCTTGACAGTGGACTGCCATCATGTAGATACTTTACGATGTATAATATCTGTGTGTACATGTATAATATCTCTCGTGTACGTGTATACGTGTAATTCATACTTAATCGCAATAGTGTAAGTCGTGTGTAATATTTAAGATGTTAATATATTCGTAGGGCACTTTCAAAAAAAAATCTAAAGACCGAAAAACGAGCAAAAAGTTCATACGTAAAAAAATGTCGATTCACGTTTATTTATCAAATTATAGATAATTTATATGTGTTGCATCAGATGAAACGAGCTCTGTCTCTATTTTTATCCAACAACAAATTTCATATCGTTTTATATTGACTTAAATAAATAAATCTCAACCGACATCTTTGCTCATCAATCTTTTCGTTTGCTTTGACCTTTAGAATCTGAAAGTGTTTCACGAATATTTTGAACACCCTATATATATATATATATAATATATGCATCTGCGCGCGCGAAGGTCCTTACGTCGATAAAAGACACTATAACATTATATATGTACATTAACATGCGTATAGAGCTATCCTCGGGGACAAGAGGAAAAAAAAAATAAAATAAAATAAAATAAAACAAGTAAATAGAGTAAAACATGAAGATCCATCCGTTTCGAACAAGCGGGAACCATAACGTAAGTAATTTCAATAGAGAGTAGTCTTGAAAGAGATTTTTAGGCTATTCGGAGCATAAGATAATTCTCATGGTAAACGCTGGTGAACGAATGCAGGGTCTTTGGTTACGAGACGCATTGCGTCTCCTTAAGGTAATGGCACTACGACTTGCACATAAGTTACTGGGAAATAACCCGTACGACCGTTCAAGGTACCCTCGAACCAATTTTCGTCGATTTTCCTGGTCAGAGTGATCGTATCGTTCTCCTGAAAGCAAATACATGATACATTAGTTTTTTATCGTTCAAAATAGATTATAATATTTATATATATATATATATATATATATATATATATATATATATTGAATAATAATAGTA